TGTTTTTATTTTTTAAAAATTTGACTCTGTTTCTCTCTCTCTCTCTCTCTCCAATTTACTTTCTAAATAAACTGTATTTTCTTTTTTTTTTTTTTTTTTTTGAGTTGGAGTCTCATTCTGTCGCCCAGACTGGAGAGCATTTGCTCACTCCTGGCCACAGCAACCATGACCTACTGGTCTCCGGCGATCCTTCCGCCTCAGCCTTCCAAGTAGCTGGAACTTCAGGCGCGCACACCACGCCTGGCTAGTTTTCGATTTATTGTAGAGACAAGGTCTTGCCAAATTGTCTGGGTGGGTCTCGAACCCGCGGGCTCAGGCAATCCACTCGCCGTGGCCTCCCAAAGTGCTGGGATTACAGGCTGAGCCACCAAGCCTGGCTGGATTTGTGTTTTCTGCAGGAATCTTTGTGGTGGGTTGTAAAGATCCTTATTTCTCTGGAGTTAATATTTGGTAGTAATAGATCCTTATTTTTTTTAACATATTTGAAGGCAGTGACTTAAGGTTCTGTTTCACATGTTTGAAGTTTTTAGGGCTTCAAATTCTCAGGGGGTGCTTCCTTCAGTTCAGTGGGAGAGAGTTTCTCTTGTTCTCTTTTCTTGGCGATAAGCCATTTGAGGAACCAAAATTTATAGAGGGATTTCAGTTGTAGACACTGTCCCTTTAAAGCATGTTTTAGTTTGAAAACCCCAAGATTTAGGTTGTGTCCCATCATTGCACAAACTTTATCTGATACTTGCTGCTACTTCTCTGGTGGTTTCTGGCAGCCAAGATCTGTCTTGGGAGCTGAGTTCTTTAAATTTACTTAGTTTTCTCTGACATTTCTGGGTATGTGTGGTAAGAAGTACTATCTGTTAGATCATTGTGCGATATTATTTATTTTTACTTCTTAAAATAGAGAATGGGGTCTCACTATGTTGCCTAGGCTGGTCTCAAACCTTTTTTTTTTTTTTGAGTTGGAGTCTCACTCTGTCGCCCAGACTGGAGTGCAGTGGCCGCTCCTGGCCACCGCAGCCTCGACCTGCTGGGCTCCGGCGATCCTTCCGCCTCAGCCTTCCAAGTAGCCAGAATTACAGGCATGCACTACCACGCTCGGCTGACAAACTATAATTTTTAATCTGAAGAGAAAAAAATACACAATTTGTTTTGGCGGGGCTCGGTGGCTCAGCGGCTCAGCCTGTAGTTCTAGCACCTTGGGAGACTGCGGGTTTCAGACCAGTCTGGACAACTTGGTGAGACCTCGTCTCTACAATAAGGCAAAAATTAGCTGGGTATGATAGCATTGCTCTATAGTTCTTGCTACTTGGAAGGCTGAGGAGGAGGGCTTGCTGGAGTCCAGCAGGTTGACGCTGGAGTGGCCGTGAGCGTGCCATTGCACTCCGACCTGGGCGACAGAGTGAGATTCCAACTCAAATAAAAAAATTTTTGGTGACATGTATAAAACGTAAAATTCACCATCTTACCATTTATCGATGTATAATTTAGTGGCATTAAGTACATTCACATTGTTGTGCAACCGTCATCACTATCCATCTCCAGAAGTTTTTCATCATCCCAAACCAAAACTCTGTGTACCCATTAAGTAATAACTCCCCATTTCCCCCTCAGATTCTTGGTATGAGGATGTTCTCATTCATTTTGGATGGTTTCCTTGTATTTAGAATTTAATTGTGAGCTCATCTTTGCAGGATTTGTGTTTTCTTTTTTTTTTTTTGAGTTGGAGTCTCACTCTGTTACCCAGACTGGAGTGCAGTGGCCGCTCCCGGCCACCGCAGCCTCGACCTGCTGGGCTCCTGCGATCCTTCCGCCTCAGCCTTCCAGGTAGCCGGAATTACAGGCATGCGCTACCATGCCTGGCTGATTTTTTGATTTATTGTAA